TGTAATTGGTAAAAAGAAAAGACTAATTTAATGCTTTATTTAATCATATTTAATCAATTGTTAATTGCTTGATGTATTAAGATATGCGCCGCTGTTATGTAAACAATTCTGATACACAATTTAATAGTTAAGTATTAAGGTTTCAATCCAATCAAAAGCAGTACTTGAACAAAAGGCTGCAGGATCTCCGATTTCCTTTAAGCTTTTCTCTCCATTGAGCCATTTCAAACAGCAGCGTATAGGTTCAATTATTTTCTTGGCTACGTTATACTTCAATAGAGTAGAAGCAATGTATTGGCCTATTTCAGCACGTAACTATCAGTAGCGTAATAGCTAAGCCGGCGGAAGGGGGATTTAAGGGTTTCAAACTCCCCCCCCCCCTTAATGATCAGGAATGTAAGAAACAATTGCTGACAGGTACGGACAACGTAGTAGAAACAACAAATATGTTTCAAATTCGATTGTGCTGAATTCATTTATTATTCTTTGCAATAATTAAGTGTATTGTAAATAGCAGCAGACAAATAACGCAATTATTATATTAACATTTATGAGTTTTATTGAATGAAATAAATAAATGCATCCATTTACGCATTTTTATAGAATTAAAATAAAGGGTAAAGGTCTAGATGATGGCCCCCATCCCCGAAGGGTGTGGGGGTGGGGGTGATCGAAAGATGCGGTCTCCCCCACTACTGTACCATAAGAAGTTCGTGGCGATCATAAAAAGGTATGGGGGTTCAAAGTTAATAAATATGCCAATTTTTATACACTTCTGGGCATGTAAATATTTATATAGTCAATAGTCTTAAACAATATTCAGAGGTAAAACTAATGAAAAATATTGGGAAAGTTATAAAAAACATTATTTAAATATCTTTATCAATAGGTTACGTTATCGCGTTTTGTTCAAATGACCACCCTCTTTCGATCCCCCACCTCCGCCTTGCTTGAAAATAATTATTTTATTGAATTTTATTTGAATTATAGTGTATTAAAATTGTCAAAATAATCAACTTTCAACCTTCATAACTTTTGATAGGGGTGAGACCGCCGCAAATTTTTTATGGGGTTTTACTCAGGTGACCACCCTCTTTCGATCCTCCACCATTTAACCCCCATAACTTTTTATGGGGTGAGACCACCACGAACTTTTTATGGTACAAACGTGGGGGAGACCTCCTCCTTCGATCTCTTCCACCGCCACCCCCTTCGGGGATGGGGGCCATCATCTATCCCATTACCAAATAAAGCATTTTAGGTTATCAGTTAATTCGTTGTTTTTTTATACTATCAGCTCCAGCGCCAGATTATAGTTTGGGAGGGATTCGAACGGTTGCCATGCTTATAATAATCAAAGTGAGAATTGTGTATTTACCTATATTTCATATGTTAATGAAAAATAAATGAAAAATTGTTTTATTTTTTTATCTTAGCATCCTCATCCTTTCACAAATTCTGGTTATGCCACTGGTTGGTGTAAGTATAATGAAACTCGTAAATTGCACGTTGGAAGTAACAGTTTCTGTTTTTCCTTTTGAATGAAAAAAATCTTGTTTCACTTAATTCCCATAATAAAAGATCAGTTCGCCGGGTATGAATTGCGGAAAGCATTCAGCCATTGCACTGCGTCTAAACACGAGTGGTTGCGAGACAAAGGTGAATTCGTCGCCGAGAACGCCATTCATTGGCGAAATTCAGCACCTGTCCTTAACGTGCACACTTCACTTTCACGAGTGCGCCAATTAAACACAATAGCTTATTATCAGCAACGGAAAAACGAAATTATGTATTTGAGTAGCCAACTACGTCACCCTTAAACGTTTCCTTTAGGGAATTTTAAATCTGTATAAAGCACACATCTGAAATGGATTACGAACACTTTAATTTAGAAACGACGATTACTAGGTAATAGACTTCAAAGAATAGTGATTACTACTCCATCTATTTTTTTAATCAAAACTAGTAAATCGTAACTCAGTACCTTGCAATTATTGTTATTCTTTTTAAAGTGTTTCAAATTAAACAAATTTCATTTCTTAAAGATAAACGAAAAATTAGATGTATTAGTTTACATCCCTTTACAAGTTAATAAACTACTTGCTTAAAATGAAGAACGATATTGTAGTAACACTTGGTATAGCAATAGATAAACAATTCATATGTGTAATAATTAAAGTTCTTCATTTGTGCCGACTTAGTTAAATCGCGATATAGTGCGATTAACTAGGCCATACACATTTATAAACACAACGTAAATCGCTCAAACATCTAGTGCCATAAGAACAATATAAATAGTTTTAGTAGAAATAGCATGTAAATAATTCAATAAACCAGTCTAACACAAGGTTCACTCCCATTTGGATACTGCAATAGTATCAACCCTTCAATACTGCAATAGTATCAACCTTGAATGCTGCATCAGTGCTAATGTTTATCGTAAACACAGCAATGTGTTCAACATCGTTGTAAAATCGGTTCTTATCAAAGTCACAATTATTGATAGTCACAAAACGACTACAATATATTTCAAAGCTAAGTTAAAAATATGTGTTTATAAAAAAGTTATATCTAGATTATGTGAATTATGTCAGTAAGCAGTGATGCATTTTAAAATTTAGCCTAGGCAAAGAGTTTATTGTATTGATTAATTTATTTATTTTGATGGTAAAGGAGTAGTTTAAGTCACTTCCATAAATTGTTTTCGGGTGTTGCAATGAGCTCAACAACACAATATAGTTAATTAATACCATAATATTATATATAAAAGAAATTATGAATGCTGTCAGTACAGGGCAAAGTAGTATTACGTAGTTAGTATCAGCAATTTCTTATGCTGGAGTGTACGATACGTTGCATACCTATTTACAAACAATTCCTTTAAATTTTAATCATTGATTACCATTACATCTATTAAAAAACCATAATGGCCAACATCAGTGACAATGCGACAACAATTGAAAAATAATGATGGCCGACAAAAGCAACAATGAGAAAAGAATGATGGCCGGCATCAGTGACAATGCAACAATTGAAAAAGAATGATGGCCGACACTACGTCATAGTGAATTTCGACCATTCGAAGCAATGGTACCTACTAACAGTTTTGAATTCACAGTGACTGATAGAGGGGAAGAACTAGTACTAATAACAATTACTTCTCATGGCGGTACATATTAAAAGAAGTCGAATTTAGTGTTGTCTGACAAATGAATATTTAGCTTTTCTAAATTAATTTGAACANGTATGAGAGAACGTTCAAGAGTCAGGCTATTATACAATTGTCCTAGTTAGATAAACATGTTTAACGATTTTGATGATTTTTTTCTTTGTTTTTTATTTCTTTTGTTATTCTTAATTAAAGGTAGGTAACAATTAATCCAACGAAGTTTCACTAACGCAATTAAAATTTTCCAAGGTTATACCTGTAAATAGTCACGGGGATGACTTCCTCAATTAGAGGAGTGCAAAAGCAATTAAAACACTATTCATTTTAAAAATGACTCATTTAGTTTTCAGTCAAAGAAAGTGACTTTAAACGCAAAAAGCCTTTTGTTCTGTAACGAGTTCTTCTAAACGAATGGACTTGTTTTCAGGTCGAATAATAAAGTCTTTATTCTTCTGTTACGAAATTTAATTACCGAAATATTACATAAGTACATGCTGGCTGTTATTATTAAGATTTACAGTACATTAGAAATAGATAGCAGCTTATTATTGTCAATGTATTAGTGAATTTAAATTAATTGTTAACGGTGTTAGGACACTTTAAACCCGAGACATTTCATCCCCTGGGACATTTGATCCCTTGACTCTGAATATATATTGTATATATGTATCTACATATGCGTGTCATGATATTGTATTTTGTTACGTGTATTCTCATTTCGTACTTTAATCAAATATTACCTGGTTTGACCAATATTATTTTCGTTCCCTACCGTGAAGATAAATGGACCCTAATGAGTTTTCGTTTTGTACCATGTGGTACCTACTTTGAATTTCCAATTTGAAGAAAAAAGCTGGAGAATAATATGGTCCTGTAAAAACAAATTAACGAAGAATGTAGCCAACAATAGTCTGGATTTTGTTACCACAGTTCCAAAATTCTGTTCTGTTAAAAAACAATTATATTTCGCTTGACATGTTTTTTTAGGGATTAAAAATCTGCCGATGCATATAAAGGAAATTGTTATTCCAGAAAAATACAAATAGTTTTCTTTATGACAATGTGGTCGAAGACAATCTCAGTTTTGCTAATAATTAAGATGTTTGTGTAATTAAGTGCAGTTGTCCTCATCAAGGTACGAAAAGAGCATAACTCTATCCTTCGGTTGAGGTAATTAAAATATAAGACACGAAACGATAATTTTTCGCGTGAGGTACGAAATGAGAAGGTATGAAACGAGCACAAACCCTATGTTAAATTCAATTTTGTCTTTAATTTAAAATGGACAACATTTATTAGAACTTTTATCGATGGAACTTTTAAAACTTGTTGTAAGCAGTTTATGCAAGTTTATACTCTTTATGTAGACATCGGAAGCAACGAAGATGAGATCAATATACCACAGTTCCGGTGTTAATGGCTTACATAAGGGTACAGCAGGGGGTGAAATGTCCCGTTTCAATTTTATATAACATATCTGTATATATATTCTCAAAATTTTTCGAAAGCATGGGTTTCTACTCTAAATATTGTGATTTAACGCTTCTAGATAAATTAGTGATTTTTTGCATAGTAAGAGACAAAGGTTCATACTAACTAGGTACGTTTTTGGTTTTCAGTAATTTGGTCATTAAAAGATTTTACAAGAGGTTAAAGTTAATAATTTTTGCAGGACACGCATTTTTAATAGAAATTAAAAAATTTAAAAATGGCCATGGACAGGCTTTAGAACAAAGCTTTATCTATCTCACTAGAAAATTTCAAATCTCTGTTCCTTGCTCCTCACCCTGAAGATGCTTTTACAATACAAACTGCGCCTGTTGAGTTTTTCAATCAATATTTTAGAAACTATTCAAGTATTTTTATTAAAATTAACTACGTTCTATAATGGCTAAGGAAGTTATTTAATAGATTTATTTAAAATACTATGATGTAAGTACGGAGAGGGCTTCGTATTTTCAAATATTTGATAGTCAGTAAAACCTAACAATAGTTGAATTACTTACTTGTCTCCCGTAACAGTTTTATGAGGAAGGAAAAGTCACTTTATTTAACTGTAAGGCATTAACGTTATTAAGAAAAGTCTATTCCTATACACTTAGAAACATATGTATTCAATCAGCTTTATCTTACTTTGATACCAATAAAATTGCTTACAATGTTAACGATTGCCTGTTAAAAGTACTAAGGCATTGATGTTGCTTTAGGTCCGCCAGCTGTTGTAGAAGTGGATATTATGGTACGAAGCATGGGACCTGTTTCCGAAGTTGATATGGTAAGTTTTAATTAATATGTAGGTGTGCTTGACTTTTTTAAATCAATTAAATTGCACCAAATGTTTGATGTATTTTATTAAATTAACATCACTAGAAAATCGCACAACTACATATTATAGATTTGTTAGACATGTTTATTTTTATTACTGCAATGAACTTGTTGTTTTAACTTTTCTTACAAACACCACATTTTGGATATGACTTTGGGATTTTTCTTCAACAATTGGTCCCATTTTGCGGGTATTGAATTTAAAGAATTTCATCCGTTTCTTCACAAGTGAACCTTTAGGTTTAGGAAATTTTTTCATTGGTAAAAAGACATCACCAGTAGCATCGCCACAACCTACAACTGCGTCTTTCACACTGTCGGACAAGTTCTTTCTTCCTTTTTCTAAAATGGAACGAGTAATCGATTTTTGAAGACCTTCCGGATAGTTCTTAGAAACATCCTCAAGCGCTTTGGGTAGATTAATGGTAGGTTCACTTCTTTTTTTGGAAGTTTCATGTTCCATTCGTTTTATAAACACTCTTGTTAAATCGTTCACCAGTTTATTATCCAACAGTTTCACATTGGTTGTACATCCAATCAAAGATTCTCTATACTTGTGCAACTTTGATATCGGATTTTTACTCACGTTCAAATTTTCTAAAAGGAAAAAGTTCCGCAGTACATCACAAACTTCTTGAATATTAGAAAGATCATTTTGAGAAACATCCAAAAATCGTAGCCCAGTGAGTGGAGCCAAATTGGATATGTCCATAATATTGTTTCTACAGCAATTTAATACTCTTAGCGATTGTCTTATACCAAAAATAGATCGAGGATCAAAACACATAGAATCGCTCTCTCTCAGTCTCTGCTTTTCGATGTACAGTTCTTCTAAGTTTCTTAAGTTGCCCAAACCTTCCACCACACAAATTTCGTTATGACCCAAATGCAATCTTCTCAGATATACAAGGCATTCCAAATTGCAGATTTTCTTTATTTTGTTATTGTGCAGATAGAGTTCTTTCAAGTGTATAGCGCCATCAAGATTTTCTATCTTTTCGATTTGATTATTGTGGAGATACAAATGTGTTAATTGCTTATAAGACAATTCTTCATTTATACGTAACTTCTTCTTATCTTGATAATATAAATGCGAAGGTTTCTTCTCGTTTTTAACGTCAGAATATTCATCTTTTAGAGTTTCACCTTCGGTAGGATTACCTGATTTTGCTTTAGATTTTAACATAATTCACAACTCAACCTAAACTTCGTCAAATGAGACATTTGACTCACTAGTCGATATCTTAGCAACATGGATGTCTGTGACAGATATTCATAGTTTGTGTCGCTAAGAAACGTAAATATTGAAAAAACAGTTAATACCTTAGCCACCGATTGCTCTTATTGATTTTTAATTTTTTGATAGACATACGTAGATATGTGTCAAAAACTATGAGAACGATCTTTAGAAAAAATTCAATTCTTGGATTTTACGCATGCGTCTTAGGGGTATTGAAAACACTAGATACAACTGATTCTAAGTTGTCCAAAAAAAGTGACCTTTGTTGGACATTTTAGGCACCTGGGCGTCGTCAACTACGCTACTGCTCAAAATATCAAGGGATATTTGAGACTAACTGGTTAACTGACCGTAAGTTCGGAAAAGAGTATGGTAACCGAAAGTTTCTCCAGACCAGTATTGGTTCAAAATATTATCAAATTCAGTACCGAAAAGTTATTTTTGACAAATCAATTTAAGTCGCAGAATAATAACTCGGACTGTAGTCATTCATTCAGTCTCAAGAATTTTCTAGAATCTTCCCCATGTGTCAGTATTTAATGTCTCTAAATTGTTCGCTGTATAATTTCGCGATTCATTTAAGACACAAAGAGGGCCAATAAAGTGGAAGGTGTAAAAAACGTTATTTGGGGTTGGAATTGTTTTACACTAATACAATAAGCATAAATCTGACAAAAAATATTATTGTCGTGAATGGTCTGTAATATAATGATCTCAATTTTAAATTTCCTTAAGTGTTCATGAACATCAAGACTACTAAATAGTTTGATTTATTACATCTATATATCCTTTCGGGTTAAACTCGTTATGAAGAATACTTTTGAATTTAAAAAACGCTATAACCACTTATTTTATTTCGTCTGTGCGTATGAACATGAATGTGTGCTACTGGGGGCTTTGGTTTTTCTTGTAGGTAAGCTTCTTTTGTGACTTACTTACCGTTTTGGAACTAAATTTGTTGCAAATCTTATTTGATATGATAGGACACAGGGTCAGTTTAAACCGGTGATGCCGAATTCCCTCCCGCAGGTAGTTTTGGTTAAAATATAGATAGTCGAATTCTCTCCCGGGTACTAGCCGAGTTCCCTCCCGTTCATATCAGCTCCGATAATTAAGTTAACGACTACTTACCGATTTTATTTATCGAAAATAAATATATATTTATAGTGCACTTCAGTACTTCAGTAAATTAAAGATAAAATAATTTCAGAAAGAAAACACATATCAGTTATGAAATGTTTATTTATTTAATTTTAAAATGGTTTCCCACTACCTTAACAAATTCAATGTTTGGAAATTCGTGTGCGTCTAGCTTTTTGATGCAATCATCCAGAAAAACTTTATTAGTTTTAGTTTGTCTTGTATTTGACCAATAGAAGGGTAGTCCGATAAAATTATTATTGTTATTGTGGTGTCTATAATATATGAATAATATTAAGATTAATATGTGATGTGAGGCTGTATTATTTGAACAACTCTTTATGATTATATAGTGGCAATTGGCACTCAAAGTCATCCGCCGCCGTTGGGAGGCAATTGATGTATAATTAGGAGGGAATTCGATATACCGAAAATTTTAACCCTAATTAAAAACAGGTATATGGGAGGGAACTAGGCATTATCGGTTTAGCCAATACTGCAAGGATTGCAAAAGTGACGGGTCAAAATTGCTATCTTTATTCAATAAGTTAGATTTCCGCAAAATTGTGACCGTGTTGACCTTACAAGTGATAGGCATCTGGTCATGACCAATCAATATCCTTTTGTTGGATTAGGTCCAGTCAAGGTTGTCATCACTGCTTTTTCACTTTAACTCTTTTTACTGGATTTACCCTCCCCCCCCATTTTGCTATAATTTAATTGCAAATTGTCTGTATATAATTTAGCAGAATACTATTACAGTTACTAATTCGTAGTATTTCTGGATAAATCGGCACACTTTAAGGACGACAATTAACTTACTGAGACGTTAGTTACAGTAATGAATTCCGTAAATTGAGCGCGAAATTGCCTCTACATACCAAGGTAACCCGCAGGAAATTGATCTGTAGGATTATACTGTCTAAAATCTTTTTCTGATCACAGCGCGATACTATGAGTTATTCTGTTATTCTCCCTAGTGAACTCGGAAAAAATATTATCCGTTTTGCTTTTAAGACAGATCTCGTATACGTACAGGGTGGGTAATTTCGACGTGTATATAGGATAACTCGGTAACTATAACAGATACAAAAAATTTAATTTTGACTACATTTCCATATCTTGGTTGTTTGTAACATTAAAAAAAAAACGATTTCTACGTTATTCAGACACTGTTTTACATAGAGTATAGTGGTGTCGGAAAAATTAAAAAAAAATCATCTCCTTTCGAGTTATGATATAAACTTGAATTTTTTAAATTTTTTACATGTGGAGTTGTATTCGATGGGTATGCAATTAATTGCACAGTAGGCGTCTGTCATCTATATGATAGTAATCACTCGTTGATCATTTTAATGAACCAATCTGCCAGACGCGGATCGCGATTTCGATCTCATCAGCGCGTCGCAGGCAGCTCCGCCAGAACACAGACCAACTTTTACCTTTTCTAAAACGCACTTTTAAGACAGCAGGTAAAAGTGTTTGAAAATTCCAAAATGCCACAATGCACTAAATGACTGAATCCCACCCTGGAAAATCACAATATACGTTAACACCAGTTAAAATCTCTCGATTGACCAATAAGGAACTGCTTATACAAAATTTCAACGAATTCGTCGGATGATAGTTCAGCGTGCCTGCAGGAAAAAAATACATGCAAACTATTTTTCACAGATGTGCGTGTGTGCTCCTAACAATTGGAACCGCCTTTTTTTACAAAATTACTTCTACTGCGACAGGACAAGAATATATCAGTAAAGTTTTTAATTTTCATCTTACTTTCGTTTTTCTTTTAGTAATACATTCACGGAGAAAATGAAAAACGAAAATTTACTTAAATATTAAAGCGATATCAACAATATATCCCACAAGCCCGTTGCTTCGTAAGCGAAAATAATAAAAATTACAATTTCGATCCGAATTTGTAAAAATAAAATGCCGTAAACGTAAACGTAAAACGTAAACGAAAAGGGTTGCCAACTTGATAGTTTTAATTCCCTAATTTTTTATTTAAAAAAGAAACAATGTTACGTAACGTTTTGTAAGAGAAACCCCCCACCGCCCCTGTAACGCATCGTTAGGTTTTACAAGAACCCCCTCCCCCAAATTGCGTTATGTAATACTTGAACGCCCCCAAACATGTCAAAATTGATATTATTACAAGTTACCTAATAAATTCGACTATTCCTACGTCAAATTCAGTCAATTACAATCGACAATTGTAATTTTTGCGTTGTCATAAAAGTTTAGTTTTCTCCGTGATATCTCGTGAAAAACGAAGTCAATCGTCAATATGACAATGCATTGGGGAGACTACTACGTCACAGTAAATATAAATAAACACATAATGGATAAATATTCAAAGATTGGAAAATTTCGATGCGTTGCGCCGAATAACGTTACCAACTAGCCCGAAATCGCGTTGCTTTGCACTTTATCGACTCGGTTTTAGCGCCATGTTAAAGAAGCACAGACTTAACACTAAATTCTCACAAACATGCGGAATTTACACATTATTCGATTTACTGATGAATAATTACAGTTCGAAATNTAGTTAAACAGAGATTCGTCATTTATTTAAACCCTTAATAGAGTGGGTAAAAGGGTTGGGCCTTTTCTTGACCTACTCTGGTAATGCCACATTCAAAAAATTTTAAAATAATATACACATAATAATAGAATGCTAGTATGATATTTTTGACTTTCAATAAATTTTCTGAATAATTGCAATGCTTTCTTTATTATTTCTTTCTTTTTTTTTATTTATAGTAATAATGTTGTTTAGATTTGCTTACATGAAAATACTCCCATGCATCTTAAAAAGGGTTGACAGCAGGTATCGAGGGAATTTACATTTAACAAAAAGGGAACGTTAAATTTATTGAAACGTCTTTTATCAGTAGATCTCATGAGACTTTCCTTTTAAAAGTACTTTGAATTAGGTATTTAGTACTTAATGGGTAGTAACAAGACGTGGCGATTGTAGTTATACAATTACATTTCATTGTAGAATAGATTATATTCTAGAACACTCTAAATGTTTCGGTCTATTTTAAGGTAAACTCAAAACATCGCAGTTACCGTTTTGAGTTTATTTTCAAGTAATCAAAAAAAGCGGAAGCCAATTATAACGAAGTAAAACAAAACCAAAAATGGTATTCTTTTTTTGTTCTGTTAATTTCAGTATTAATTGCTTTAGACATATTCGATGGATTGCTATTTTCGGCAAACATGGATAGATACACGTCTAGCGTTTGCTGGAAATTCTAAAGACACTTTGGCACTAAGCATCTCCATGTTGGCTCGTATTTGGAAACCAGACACTTATTTCTACAATGGAAAACAGTCGTATCTTCACACCATTACGACACCAAATAAATTTGTTCGCTTGTATCAAAATGGACGGGTATTGTATTCATCAAGGTATTATTTACTTTTAGTCAAGGAATAAGTACAAGTTTAACAGAAATAACTAGGCCCCTGAGAGTTCGAGAGAACGGCGCAAAGGATACAAACAAATTGTATCGGACCGGTATTGTAATGTAAACTCACCCTGAATCTTAAGGATGTTTGGGAGATACAAACGGAGACAAGAGTACATAGAATTAGAAATTCGTGATTAATTAGGTTTTGCGTCATATCATGAGGTAAATAAATACTATCTATACTAAAAAAAAGTGTACGTTTGAGAGAAAATTTGGAATTTGACCAAAAACTTTGAATAAAATAAGAAATAACGAATAATATGGAAATTTTTTAACTGACTTTTGGCAGTGAATATGCCTTGATTTCAACTTCGAAATAAAAAAATATTTAGTTTCAATCTTTATTAATAATGAGCGTAAAACTTTTTAATATGTTTAAATAATAATTAAAACTTTAAAATTGCATTTATTTCAGACAATTATAAATATTATCATTGTATTATCAAGTAAAAACGAGATTTTCAACTAATTTTTCATTTTTT